AACAAAAGAATAACTGCTAATAAATATGTATGCAATGAATGATAGTTACCTATAAGTCTAAACACAACAATGATAATTAGACAAAATTAATTGTGCATTAAATGAAAATGATTTTTTATTTAAAAAAAAATTTGACATGAGGATTTGAGAAGAAACTCTTCAAAATAGGAATTCAAATTAGCATTAGGTGGATGATAGAGTGCCTGTATTGAAAAGAGTGATGACAAAACCCAACAGCGCATGCGCTGCCGTCATATTTTTGTCCAAGGGGGTTGCCAGATGATAGACCGAAATTGATTTTTTCTTCCAACTTTGGCTGATCTTCCCATGCCAATTCGCGATTTGGGGGGGCCAATTCCCGAAATTAAGAACAATTTCGGACTTTGGTCAGCCATCCTCGGCCAATTTCCAAAATCAAAAAAAAGTTCGGACTTTGGCCAGCTAATTTACAGCGTTCTAGGCCGACTTCGGGCTTTGGCCGTAACATGTTGCTTAATCAAAATATTTAATATTTATTTTATTTTTAAATAATTTCAGTGAAAATTTAAACTATATGAATGGTTATAGCGATTCACCCTAGCTTTCTTTTTGGGTAAAAATTGTATAAATAATTTTAAATATTATTACTTTCTTTCTTATTAACTCGTTTCCAACTGTGAGGTTGGAATATTGCTATCAAACTTTGGACTACCATTTGACAAACAAGAACACTGGAACTCTGCATCTGATGATAATGAGTGTTTTAGTCCTTTCTTGACTAACAACACAAGAAAATGTTTCCTCATTTTATCTTTAAATAGAATTAATTGATCATCAAATAAAAAGAGAAAATTAATTTTATCTTTGGTACACCAAAAGTTCTTCACTTAATGTACCACCAAATATTCCTCCGAACGTTTTTCTAAGGTGTTATAGATTTCGCTTCAGGTCTGATAAAAATACGAATTTCTTTAGACTACTTGATAAGGGTAATTTTTTTGAATTTATATATGTCATTAATTCATTGAACATTCAAATAAACAGCTTTTTCGGGCAACTGTTATATTATAAAGAAACGTAAAAATGACATTTAGGCTGGCATGTCAAAATTCTATCTAATTCTTTGCTCAATTGATTATTTCGGATGCTGTCATAAGTGTTTTTATTTTATACAAAAAATTAATTTTAGTCGTGTGTCATAAAGCAATTCTGCAAAGAGATTTTTATTTTACTCATATTAAAAAATTTCTTTAAAATCTTTTCTACAGAATCATTTTATATATAATTGCAATAAATTCTTCCGTCCTTGAATTTCTCTCGTCCCGTTTAATACTCGTAAAATGAAAAATAGCTGGTACAGATTTTGGAGCTGGAAAATATCATCAAGTTTAACTATAGACAATAAAGAAAATTAAACAAAAAAAGAAGATTCTGATGCAAAAAAGGAGGTACCCGAAGAACAAATGCCAGGTACACCGAAAGGGAAAAAGCGCACAGCGAGACCCCGTCGCATCTGTAAACCAAAGAATAATAAAAAAAAAAGATACTTTACGTCGTCACATGAAATACCAAGAAGTCTACTAAACCGAAGACGACTCGAGGGGGAAAAAAAACTAGAAAATCCCAGCAAACACATTAGGTCGTTTACTTGGCGGCCCGTTGTCGGTGATATTGGCATGGTATTGGTTGTATCAGATTCGGTTCAATGAAAGACTTTCTATAAAGTGCAGATAACATCAAAAAAGTCAAAGCATTTCTACGATATCAACTGTAGATTTGTTTATGGAATGAGGTGCATTTGTAAAGGAAAGAAAGCTGGGGATGCGTTGTCTGGAACTTTGAACTTACCTCCATCTCCACAACGATTTCAAACTAACCAAGTCGATCTCTTTTCCAGTTTGAATGTTGTTGCTACCTCTTCAATGGCAAATGCAACAGAAGAAACAGTGTGTCTCTCAGGAAGTCGCGACATCGCAGCAGCATTTGACGGCTCGTGGTAAAAGAGAGGTCATACATCTTTAAATGCAGTAGTAGTTTGCACCTTTCTTGAAAATGGGAAAGTGCTGGATTTTGAGTGTTTATCAAAACATTGTTTTAAATGAACAACCTCATCTGTCTCTCACGAATGTGATAAAAACTACACAGGTACCAGTGGAGGTATGGAAGAAGCAGGAGTGCAAAAATTGTTTCGGCGATCGGAAACTGAACGTTCTGTTCGTTACTTGGATCACCTGGGGGATGGTGATTGCAAGGCCTATGATCAAGTGGTAGCAGACAAAGTATATGGTGATGTGCACATCGATAAACTTGAATGCATAGGACATGTGCAAAAGAGGATGGGCGCAAGGCTGCGTAAATTGCGAGATTCCTTAAAAAAGCAAAAGTTGTCAGATGGGAAAGGGATTTCTGGCCGTGGTCCTCTAACAGATAAGGAAATTAACCTTATTCAGTTATACTATGGCCTTGCTATCAGAAGGAATGTGAATAAGCCTGTGTCAGAAATGTCGCAAGCTGTATGGGCAATTTATTTTCATATATCGTCAACAGATGAAAACCCGCAACATGGCCTGTGCCCGAATGATCCCGATACATGGTGCAAATTCAATAAATCCAAGCACACTAATGAACCATATACACATAAAAATTCTTTGCATGAAGCCGTATTATTGGGTATCAAACCTGTTTTTAGGGCACTGAGTGACCCTAAGCTTCTCGTGAAATGCACTCATGGATAGACACAGAATCCTAATGAGTCATTCAACAGCTGTGTATGGGATCGACTTCCAAAAACATCCTTTCACGGATTAAAAACCATTAATGTTGGAGTAATGGATTCTGTAATTTATTTCAATGAAGGAGCTCAAAAGAGAATGGATGTTATGAATCATTTAGGCATTGATCCTGGTTATTTAATGTTAAAGTCTATGAAAGCGATCGACGTACAGAGAGTAAACGTGGCCAATTTGGCCACAAAATTAGCTTCCAAAGTGGCTAAACAATAAAAAAAAAAGGAAATGTGAGGCTGAAGAAAGTCGAGATAAAACAAGTTATGGTGCTGGAGAGTTTTAAATTTATGTATTATTTTAAACTATATGTTTTTTTACCTTTAAATCTGTTTTTCTCAAAACATTATTTTTTGTTACTTAGGTACATATATCTCTTTTTCTATGCAATTTAAAAAGATAAAACTTGGTAGGCTTATACATCATTGATTGTTTTATACAGTAAACCTCAAATTTAGTTCATTTCGAAATCAGGAGCAAAATTTAATTGCTGAAAATCAGCAAAAATTGGTATTTTGAAACAGTCAATTTTTTATTCTGCAAAAAATTGTGCATTTTAGTCTAATTTTAGGTATACTGTATACTCTAGGCTATATATTGTGTGTATAATTTTTTCAGTCAATTATATTGAGTAGTTGTAGTTTTATATGTACCTTACTGATGACATAATTTGAAAATTTAACAAAAAATTTGCCTATAAATTGTATGAATAAAAATTATTGTCTAACTTAATTTGTATATTTTACTGTAGAAATACATTAAAAAAGGTAGCCAGACTTTAAGGAAGTTTCACAAGTCTTGGGCTACAGCAGAAATGACTGGAAAAGTTATATGTGCTCATTGCACATGTATGGCAGGGTAAGCAATTTATTTTATTTCTGTATCATAAGTATATAACTGAAGATAGATAACTTTAAGCATCCGTTTTTATAGAAAAAAAAATTTGTTTTATGAGTGGACTAGCACTTACTGCTGAGTTCCATTTAACCATTGAAATTTTTTTATACAGGTTAGGAGAGGTATTCTTTCATGTGGCTGGCCTTTTGTTCACCATAGAGAATAAAATACAAGAGGGTTTGAAAAATCCATCTTGCACTAGCGAGCCATGTCAATGGAAGAAAGTTTCCAAAAAGGTGATTATAATGTTCCTATCATGCTTATTAAAAATAATTTTGAATCAATATTATAAGCCATGTTTTTCTCTTAAAATGTTGTAAAAATTTACAAGAGACAATGCTGTAGGTGAATAAACAAGCTGCTTTTTACATAGAGTAATCTGTATTTTGCAAAACATTATGTTTGGAATTTCTGGTCAGTTTATATGTCGAACTTTATATTTGAGCTATTTTTATGCTTTTCAGATCAAGTTATAAAGAAAAAAAGAGGCGTTATTATTAATATATTAACTACACAACAAGAAGCATTCCATTCTGAGAAATGCTAAAATTGTGTACACGATACAGATATAGGGAAACTGAAATTTTTATATCACATTAAGTGGTACTGGAAGATTAACACATTACTACATGATAAATTGCTGTCAAGAGCAGTAGAATTCTGCCAAATTTCTTAATTGCTGAATTAAAAACATGCATCAAAGATCGTCATCAACTGCCTACTTCTTCCCTTTAGCAGAAAGGGATATAGTTTCGGTTTTAGATTATGTCATTTCTTTTCTCCGGTGGCAATACTTTAGTTATGTTATAAAAAATGATATCATCTGGTACTGACAATTTTTGTATAGTAAATTAATTTATATCGCGTAAATTATTAATTATTTTAAATTAATCAGAGACACGCATTAATTTTTTTAATCATCTGATGGCGCCATCTATGTATGAATATCAGAAATGGAAAAAAAGGAATAGTAAAATGGCAGTTCTATTTTTTCAATCTTAAAAATAGTAAAATATTATTATTAATAAATTTATGTATTGTCCATCAGGATCGAACCTGCACTAACAAGAAGTATCCATGGGACAGTAGAAGGGTATCTAAACCACTGTCCTATGGAAGCTTGTTCATCTTTGCGTTAATATTTGACCTGAAATTACGATTATGTCGGTCCCATGCCTGAGAGGTCTTTATACAGTCCTGATGCAATGTCAACTGAAAATCGTCAAAACAAAAAGGAAGTGGAAAGATATTGTCGGTAAGGGGCGAACTCATTAAATAAAATCTACTAATGAATGCATTTTCGGTTTGATAACTTAAGCTCTTCTTTTTTTAAAAATTTCGGATGAGATGTGGACATACTGAAAAGTGTTGCCTAGAACTTAGGAAGCTGTCCATCGAAATTTGTAACATCGATCCATTTTGGTAATATATTAATTCTGTATGAAAAAAGTGTATTCTTAAGTTTTTTCTTTTTAAATTCGTAAAGATATTAATTTTTGCTTTATTTTTTTCAGCTATGTGACTATCGCAGCATCACGTACACTTCAGAAGCAATCACGTTACAACAAATACAATTGCCATGGTTCCTGTACATGGTTATGCAAATGGCAATTACAGTTTCGATGGAGTTCGGTGGCTAGAGTATATTTCTTTTAGGGATAACCTGATTATTAAACACGCTTTAAATGGGAGGGGAGAAGTAATGCTTGACGGTGTGAAGGTTGAAACAAACACAATATACCAATATCACGTAAGTATATATTCATATTTTTTAAATGTCAACATCCCTTCTTTTTATATGTATATTGAATACGCGTAAGATTTTTTTTCTCATTCTAAGGCTGCTTTTTTCACGGGTGTGAAAAGTGTTTCGATTCAGATTCTATTAATCCTGTGTCTGGCGAAACAATGGAGAGGTAGGTTAAGGAGCAAAACGATGGAAATATCTGAAAGGTTCAGAAGAAAAGGATATGAACTAGTAGAAATGTGGGAGCACGAATTCAGTGAAATGAAGAAAAATTGCGAGCTTCAAAATTTTTTGGAAAATCTGGAAATCAAGGATAGACAAGAGATGCTTTTTTTGGTGGACGTACCAACGCAGTTAAGCTCATTTATGAGGGGCGTGCTAAGTACATTGATTTTACAAGTTTGTACCCTTGGTGCAATAAATATTGTCACGACAATAATTTTTTTTTGTTATATACTTGCGAATGTTTATTATATATATAATTTTCTTTTCATTATTTTTTTTTATTACAGTTACCCTGTTAGTCATCCAGTTATTGTTACTGATCAGATTGAAGATATCTCCTCGTATTTCGGACTGATTAAGAGCAAAGTTATTCCACCAAGGAAATTGTATCACCCAGTGTTGCCGTACAGAAGTCACGGCAAGTTAGTGTTTCCTCTCTGTAAAAAGTGTTGTGACGCAAGCCAGCAATCTGAATGCATGCAGTATGATAACGAAAGAGCATTCGTGGGCACTTGGGTGTCCGAAGAAATGAAGAAAGCTATTGAGAAGGGATACAAGATAGTAAAGGTTTTTATTTATTTATTATTTTGAAAATCACTGCACGTTTCATTTCACTTTTTTCTTAAATATTATTTATTTTCAATTTTTCAGATTTTTTCAAAATATATTGAAAATATTTATATTTAATGTATATATAATAGCAGAAGTTATCTATTTATTCTGTTTGTCTAATTTATAATGGGAATTTTTTATTTTATTTTCTGCTTATTAACAGTTATTAATAGCAAATAATGATGTTTTTAAACTTCATTTTTGTAGAAATGATGTGACACGTTTTGAGATGTCCTGTACAGACCTACAATGTGCATGGAGGAGGCAGAAACAACATTAAAGATCTTGCCTCGACCCTGTACCGATTCAAGATTATTGTCACGTAAAGAGAGTGGCAAATCGGACTGTGTTTAGTGAGGAGGATGTTGATAGCATGAGGTTTAAGTATGCCTCTCCTTTCCCAAATTCCATCCTGGGAAAAAGTTATTATAGAAAACGACAAGTTGGAAATAGTAATGTAAAATATGTACTTTTGTTTTCTTTTTGTGTGTGTTTATGTCCTCTAATATTGTCCTATATTTACTAATATTGCCTTCTAATATCTCATTAATCAGTGTAAATTATACAATGGTGCAACTTCATTATTTTATTATTACTTTTCAATAAATGCTCAATATTCTATTGGTGTATATATGTTCCCATTTCAGTTTTATTTGTTTGCCCGAGAGGCAGTTTTATGTAAGTAAACTTCTGGTCAACTTATTTTTTAATATTTTGTGGGCCGCTGTTTAATTGTTGCTAAATTTTGGCCACTTTTTGGTTCAGGTAGAAAAGAAATCATCTTGTTCTGTACATTCGAAAATGCTTTACTGTATATATTACTATCTGGTGTAAGAGAATTCACATTCAGCTCAGTGCTTCTTGTGTAGGGAGATAAGTTTAAGCATTTAAGAAAGGAGTCACTAAGTTACTAAATTCCCATATTTTAATACTACTATGGGTATTTAATTGTTTCAGTTTATTGTTCATAAAATATTAATACCATAAATTTAAAAACTTCAATTTTGACTTTTGGTTTCATAATGAATGGCTGTGAATTAGCATTGTTGTCACGTAACGTTGTCACATAACGTCTGCTGTAAGCGAGTTCAATCTTGGATGCGCAAAGTCGCTTGAGTTAGCTTCACCGGAATCTTTTTTCGATGCTAACAATGCCTCGTTAGCTATTCTTGTGAAAAAAGACAAAAGCAGGGCTTCTCAAAAGAGGTTTCGGCAATTAAGCGAGTATCTTCAGAAGAGAAATTCCAAAAAATATAAGAAATCTTCTGACGACAAAAAAAAAGTTAAAGAGGGAGCCACCTACTGTTCTGGTGGTTTTTAACTTATAATATTCAGATAAAAATTCTACATATTTCATAGATATGGGGCACATATTACTTCATATATCAATAAATCTTTTTCAAACAGTGTTTATATCACACAATACATAATGTTTTTGTGTTTATTATTCATATTATCTGTCTTTCTCTATGTCAGTTAACTTTATGATATATTTTTTAATTCTTTAGCATGCAAAATAACAACATATAGCGTTAGTATTTACATCATTTTACTTGATTTTGGTACTTAGAAGTAAATTTTTGATTACTATATTAAAAACCCTCTTTTCTTAGAATGAAATTCTAAAGAGTGAACGTAATGTTCAAAATGTTCCATGCGTCTCAATTTTTCTCCAAATTTTAGGAAACTTTTATAAACTACGTAATAATGTTTAAAACAGTTTGTAGGGAATAAAATGTTTAATTATTTGGCATAACATATTCCGAAGAATTAATTTTGATCGCCCCCGACGAGGTTTGCGAAGTTAATGACTTAAAAAACGGTGTTAACAATTTCACCAATTTCCTAATGTCTCAATCCAATGACGAACTTCAAAAAACCATTATCGGTATCCTAAATGGATACATAAACTTTTTACAGACAATGAGAGAATAATCTCTTATTTTTGATAAACTTTAATATATTAACTCTCTTTTTAAAAATCAGTTTTTTTTTCAGATACGTAAATTAATTAGCTATTAACTTTTTCTTTTTAAAATGTATTTAATTATATTTCCATCTAATATAGTAAACAAGCTTCAGCTTTTTTTTTTTTTTAATACATTCGTTAAGTTAGTTTCTTTTGGAGCAGACAGACGGCAGCACCAATTCTACTGTTTGGTTTTAAAGATCCCGAACAAATCTTTAATGCTATGTTGAGTTTATTCAGTTTACGATTTTTTTCTTCAGCTAATTTGATATATTATGATAAATGAAATTTTTAAACCTTGTTAAATGATTATTAAGATATTTCACATCATGTACAAGTTATTTTTTCAAATTACCCTTCAATTATTGTTTAAGTAATATTATTTCAAATTTATTTCTCCTTGTGAGTTTTGTGGTGGTGGCAACGGTGGCGGAGTATTCATACGAGAGCAGCTGTGAGCGTCTCTCTTGAAGAATGCGATTCACAACAGCCGAAGGATAAGAAATGCTGGAAGAAAAAAATCTTTTGGAAGAAAGGTCAAGATAAAAGTAGAGATTCTGACTGAAAATAGCCATCAACAGAAAGGAAGTCCGTAAATTCTGACTGGAGAGTATGAATGAAAACTGTTGGATGAACTAGAATGGCCATCAACAGAAAAGGAAAACTGGATTCATTGAAAAGCACAGTTTCTGGAATTATTGTAATTTAGATTTGATGTATTGATTTTGTTACATGTAAATAAAATAAAATTCTTTTCTTAAAAAAAAATTATTTTTTTGAGAACTGCCTCAGGTAATTGTATTGACTGACTCTTGGTGGAAACCTAGAACCCACCATAGCTCACCGTTGTCAACCAAGCCACGGGTCGGTGTTTTGTTTCTTCTGGGCGGAACCAGTAGTATACAACCTTCTGATACGCCTTCACCCAGTACGCCAACCCAAAGAGAATGTTGCTCCACCTAGTGAGGATATCCAAACTGGAGCCTGGGGTCCGAACCGGAAACCGTCACTGGTCAGTCTCAGTCAAAATAGTGGTTATTTTGACAGTATTCAATAATTTTTTTTTCAATCAAGAGCCTTCTACAGTATTTAGCTATATTTTAGGGATGGCGTTTTCGGAAAGATGGGATAGTATATCTTAGTCAATCTCCAAAATTTAAAATGTCAAAAGTCACAAATGCCTTGGCCACTTGTCACGCTTTTGCAGATTCCCGATGCCATACGTGAAGAATTTAAATTGAGATGTGTGTCAACTACAAGCGAGCATTTTTAATATAGGAATTGTTCAATTTCATCTATGTCCCTTTTAAGATATTAAGCATTTTCATGTGATTGCTACAAGTGAACTAATTTATGTGTTTAATAAATCAAGCTAGATAATTTCTAGCATTAACAGTCACAAACTGGTCGCTTAACTTGGCAACATATTAGCTTTTAGCAGTTGAAGACCACTGGGGTACCTTGGGGTTGTGAAACCCATGTTTACTTAGAAGTAAACCCCCTGAGGAAGTTAAATGCATAAAATACTCTTAGTAATATTTTATACAGTAATTGATCGCTTGCAAGAAGTTCTCGAAGTCAAAGAAATGGAAGATTACATGCCTAGCATTACCATGTACGTTCATTTAAATGAAACCTTACAACAGCCAAATATGGCATTCTATTGCAGAGATGCCAACTAGCTCTGGACAGTGGATAAATATTTTTGAGCGGCAGTCTTTCAATGTGCGATTGATTTAATAAATTCGATTTAAAGAACTTTAACTTGTCACTACTTCTAAATAATCCACAGGCATACCGCTTTGTTGATTGTGATATGACCTGTCGTGTCCTTCAGATTTTAGTTAGTTCTCCACTGTTTTGTAAAGTACTTAGTTGAATCTGAAGCAGATGGCATCCCTCCTAATTTTTCTCACACTATGCTACTGTTTTATACCAGTTGGCATTTTGCCTTCTATAGTTAATGTGTACCTTGGAACAAACATAACCAAAAAAGGCTTGTTGAAACAGGAATCTAATTAGTATTTGAAAGCTATTTACGGACGATATAACAGGACAATAGTTGTGAAGACCTTTTCCTCCTATTAAAATAAACTGGTGGCAGTTAAAGATCACTAGGCTACACCTTAGGGTCATGAAATAACCCATGTCTACTTCAGAGTAAATCGCTTGAGGAAGTTTAAACCATAAAATATTTCCATTTCCTATCAACTTTTAATACGGTCATATCGTATAGCAACTTTTAAATTACTGTCGTTTGAAAATCAAGCTATATCGAGTTTAATGGCCCACCACCAGGCAATGAAGAAAATTTTAAAATCAGCTTAACACAATAGTACCAAATGTTAAAATACAAACATTTTTTCATCTGCAATGTATCAAAGATGTAACATCATAAGTTGTGGAAAAAACTAATGACTTCTCTAATTGTTTGCCATGTTTTGAATAAAATGTTAAAGATTAGAAAGTCTCCCATTTCATTTCAAAATACTTCTATTTTTCAGCAGAGTGGTTTATTTTCAAGTTTCAACGCATTAAGTTATTTAACATAATTTGGCAATAACTTCATTATAAATTTTGCACTTGATATGCCACTCAGTGCTTGTTAACTGGGCAGAAAAATTTTTGAATTTTAAAAAATGTGATGCAGACATCTAAAAACATTCTGCTATTTAGAATTAAGTAGATCATACATACACAACTTATAGGTTAAAAATTACAACCAATGATGACTTAACATATTTTTAGATACTAGCAATGAGAGGAGTTTCAAGTTCACTGGGGTACCTCGGGGATGTGAAACCCGTGTTTACTTCAAAGTAAACCCCCTGAGGAAATGTGCAGGAAACGTATATATCTTTTTATAGAAATGACTTATTTAATGAAACTGCCATGCAGTATTGTGCACATATGAATAAGATAGCATGAAAATTATGGTGTTATAGAAATTTGCATGAAATGAACACATCCAAGGTGTCAGTGTGGAGTAGAAAAAGTACCATTTGCATGGAGTACAATTAATTATGCATTCTACTAGTTATGTAAAAAGTGAGCATGGCAAAGGTTTGAGGAGAGCTGAGAGCAACTATGTGCCTTCCTTCCAAACCGGTCACTAATTCATGCTGATTTGTTTATTATCATTCATTTTGAGAGCTCTGTAAGGCATAACAGAAATGGCATATAACACGAAATTGTCAGCAATTGCAAACAAATAAAGAGGGACATAAACAAAGATGCCATCACTGTAGAAATGAACATTCATGACACTGCATGGAAAGACATTGAGGTCTGCGTGTCCACCCAAAGTTATACCATCTCACAGACGCTACCAGTATGGAATGCATCTCTTTTGAGAATGCTTGAATGATAACAGGTTCTAGGTTCTCACCAAATCAAAGAACACCTAAAATTGTCTTGAAAGTTAGACCTGAACTAATCTTTAAAAAAAAAAAGATTTTCATTAATAAGTTGCCCAGTGGACATAAGGCTGGCTACCTTGCAAACAAACTTGTGACTGCTATTTATAGTAGATGTTGACATACATCAACCTCCTGATGGCTGCACCAAGGAGGACCTAGTGCAGACTTCGAGTTGACGTTCTATTCCTTCAGGCTCATAATGATAAATATTTGTTATCTTTGCTCATCGTAACATTGGACAGTCTTTTGTTGACGTTTTAGATGCTGAACCTGTGATTAGAAATTATTGCCGAAGTCTAAGGATTACAGACCTCACATTTAGCTATCAGGCCTCCCATATTCTACTTAGTTCAACATACCTAAAAATTAAAGAAAAACAAATTTTAAACTTTGAAATATTTAATTACTAACTGAAATAAAAAATAACTAAGAAACATTTATATTGTTTAAATATTGGAACAAAAAGATACAATAGAAAAAAGAAATCAAAACTTTCAGCATATATATATAACGGAAAAAAAATAATAAAAAAAGATTTTTAACAATATTTTGAAAAGAGGCTTGTCACATTTTCTCTTTCAGAACAAGCCAAAAAAATAATTAAAAGTTTTGGGCGAAGACAGATACTGTTTCAAATGTTTTAGTTTAGATTAAAATAAGGCATGTTAAGTTTTTGCTTGACCCCCGGCACAAGTTTAAGATACTTTTAATTTGTGTTTTCCTTTAATGTAGCAAAGTAATTTTTTTGTTTTATATTTTGAAATTTTAATGCAAAATTAACGAAACCAACACACAAAAATATTGAGTATAAGGAAATTTGTACAGTCTACAATATGATTGACTGTATTTGGAAGAAACTTAAATTAAACACAAATATTTAAATAGAAAAAGTTACCTAGAAAATAAATTTTGAGAGCAATATTCTTCATATATTTTTTTCCCAAGAGATTCTTCACAATTCCTTATGCTTGAATTCAAGAAATGAATAAAAAGAAAAATAATTTTAAAATCAGCCAAAAATTGATTAAATAAAAGGGAAAGAAACATAAAATATAACCTCTATTTTTACTATTTTGAATTGTTATATTAGTGAATAGCTAACTGAACTAATATCATTAACTCTACTAAGAGATAAATCAAATCAGGGAACTTCAGGAATCAGGGAACATTTAGTAAGAAGCTCTCCTGCAACTTGTTTCAAAATTTCACTTCTCATTAAATTTTATAAAATTTGCAAATTTTAACCAAAAACTAATTTGAAAATCTGGTTTAAAATAGAGATGTATCAGATCTTAAAAATTTGCTACATCTGGATACCAGGTTTTAATTGACTCTTCTACCCGTCCAGTTCTGAGAACCTGAACTAAATTTTAAAAACAAATTTCAATTTTTACTCACCTGCTTTAAACTGTTACACCACATAAATGAATGATTCACTATCATCAGTAATTGTCAGAACACAGCTGAAGTCTAGAGATCCTAGTGATACTTAAAAATTTCAGTTACTTAGTATTTAGTTCATATACTGGTTACACATAGACAATGTACATTTCAAAAACTTATGAATATCAACATGCATGTAACATTTATAAAATTCATGAAAAATATGTATAATTAACATTACAGCTTTCATATAAAACAATAACAGGTACACTATTCAAGCCTCGAAATTCACAATGGTTTTAAATCACCAAAATCTTGTTCGGACCACCATAAAATAATTATCAGTGGTCTCCATGACTAGCAATGTAAAAAAAAAGTGTATACTATTAGTTTTTTTATGGTTTGGTCTATGATTTTGTAATATAAGAACACATTATCTCAATATTTGAAGGGGGAAAAAATCTGACAATGGCATGTAAATGAACCAGTGTAAAACTGTTTGAAATAATAATATATTTTGACATTAATTGATCTGAAAAACCAATAATTAAAATTTTTTTTCATTTCTACCCCTGTTATTATCATCAATATTAATAGAAATACAGTTAATGTACAAATTATTAATTTCTTGCTAATTGATTTAGACTGATTTGATGACTGCTAGCAAAGTAGTTTGCAAAACACAAGTCCTATTGAAAAATGCAACGTGATTTTGATTTCTTAATTTTTAAAATATGTCTGTGGTTCAAAAAGCAAAAAAAAGTTTTTCCCCATCATTTAAGAAAAACTGTTTTGGGTCTACAAGAGCACTATAAATAATATTTAATAACTTTACTTTCAATGGAAAAACTTACTTGTAAATATTAAAATATTTAACTATCACATGAAATTAAAACGGATTAATATGCAGAACATCTACTATAGTAATTGAGTTAAAAGAGAAAGCTTTCTGCAAATTAAAACTTCAACTGACATAAACCTAATGATTATCATTGAAAAAAAAATGCATAACAAGAACATATTTCTTTAAAGTATGAACAGGGGTCTGTCTAGGTTTTTCTGAAAGGTACCTATTTTGTGAAAATTTAGACATAATTTGTGAAAAATTAAAAATTATATTACAAAATCAATACAAAAACATGGTAAAAAAATTGATTTATCGTTTCTTAAAGGATACAAAAATAAAATTTTAAGAAAAAATATTTTGTGAAAGTTTTTCCTAAAGTTGAATTTGTGAAACTACCGTTTCACCTAAAATTGAATTTGTGAAGGTACCGCTAAACAGTAGTAAATTCGGCCTGGACAGACCCCTAAATAAATTAAGCAAATTAAGGACTTTCAAGTGTTATTATATTAATTATAAGAATTGTTTCCAAAATCTTTACGGTTTCAAAAGCGATAAAATTATTTTAATATCAAAATAACAATAGTTCCGTTTATAAGAATTTTCAACTACATATTTTTACATTACAATATCCTTAATAAGCTAAATTACACGTTTAACTAAAACAAATAATCATTATGTCACCATAAAACAGAAAAAGTTAATGAAATAATTAGTTCTTAATAACAAATATCATTATTTAGATTACTTTCTGTTGTGTTTCTCACTGAAGAAGTACGAAAACAGTTCTAATCAAATGGCGACGAAAGTTACAGTTACAGAAATAAAGGGGACACGTTCCATTATTTGCACTGTATTACACCAGTTGCTATTACTGACCGTTCCATAAAGAAAACTGATTACACCAGTGCACCGCACCAGTTATTTCTTATTAGTATAGTGCTGCCATAGATTTAGTATAGTGCTGCCATCTTTAGATCAATTTCATAATGACTATAGGTTTCTTTTAATTTCAGAACCATAACTAACTTTGGGTTATTTCACAGCCATTACTTTTTGTTCTGTTTAAAACTCCTCTTTGTTATTTACCTTATTTTCTTTTTAAAAGAAAAGACGGTTCTTTTCAAAACTAAGCGTCTTCACTCTGATTCTTCTCTTTTAAAGAAGATAAAAAATGTAAGGCATTAAGCTTTACATTTATATTTAGAATTATATAATTTCAACACAAAGCTGAAAACATATAAATGCACTTTAGTTTAGATAACTGTCGAAACATGCACTTAAAATGTTGACTTNTTCTTTTCAAAACTAAGCGTCTTCACTCTGATTCAAAATCTAAATTCTTCTCTTTTAAAGAAGATAAAAAATGTAAGGCATTAAGCTTTACATTTATATTTAGAATTATATAATTTCAACACAAAGCTGAAAACATATAAATGCACTTTAGTTTAGATAACTGTCGAAACATGCACTTAAAATGTTGACTTTTTTTTTAATAAATTCAAAACATGTTTTAAGAATATTTCTAGTTTAAATATTCTTATCATTATAGCTAAAAAAAATCTTACTTCTTGAAAGAAAATGTATGGTATGTTGGAAAGCTTTTTTTTTTAAATAAAAAGCTAGGCAAAGTATTTCTTTAATATATTCAAAATAAACTTAAAAATTACATAGTAAGTTAGTTAGACTAAAAAAATTTCTTTAAAGAAATTTTTTTTTAAAAATTTATTTTTATCATATATCATAATGATCTATATCTTATTTATATCATGAAATATTCACTCGGTAAAACTAAGAACCTTTTTCCATTTTTTAAAACAGTAAAAGCTACGAAGAAAGCTTTTATTTTAACTGTAAATAAATTTTAAAATCGTAAGATTGGATACAAGAATTCGCTATCGCAACGCTTGAATAAGCCTATAAAGGGATGGATATTTTCAGGCTACTATTTATTAGTTTTATCAAAATCATCGAAAGAGAAGGACGCTCTTTCTCAGCAGCAAATACGAAGCAAAATTTTTCTAAGGAAAAGGTAGAAGAACTTAAAAAAAATGACCCGGAACATTAGTAAGTGAATCTGAAACAGAACGCGATCAACATTTGAAGAACAATTTCTCAATAATTTTTTTCTTTCCTAATATCAACAAACTTGCAGCTGCTAGATTCCGACATTGATCGCATACTATTCCAGATGTATGTATTACGGTAAAATACATTTTATTTTTGTCTGTAATTCATTATAAATTGTAGTGAAGTTATTTAAGTGCACATTGCTTACTTTATTCAGAACCTACAGAACTGTAATAGTTATAGAATATTCTTCGTCTTTATAGAATAATATATATTTCTGTATTTACATAATTCGGAAAACAGCAATAAAGAATCATCCAAGTTACTTGAAATAGTATCCTTTGTGTTGATTATTAGAAAATTTTTACCGTTTTCCTAGTAAGTATTTTTTAGTTTTGAAAGAATAATTTCAACTAGAATTTAGCTATTCTGTTTTTAAGCTACATATTAAAATTCATATCGAGATCTTACAATTATAAAATTTTATTGCGCGAAATGTAATCTTAAATTAATGAATAATCTTAAATCAATGATAATCTATGTATATATTATTGGAGAATAAAATTTTTAAATAAACAACATTTCATTATGGAATTTTCCAGATTTATGAAGCTAGTAAGTGTTATGATTTTTATAATAAATTTTTTTTTGTTAATAATTTGTTTTCTAATTTGATGATAGTTTTCTATAATATATCCCATAAAAATATTGTTAATACATATTCAAAGTTGATTTGTCCATAAACATTGCACTATATAATATCTCTATCAAAATTAATGCAGCTGCATTAATTTTTCTAAATTTAAGCAATCAAATATTAAATATATTGTGACTGTTTGTCATTGACATTTGCACTCTTACTTGGATATATGAGGAAATAAATAGTCTCTATATTAGATTTTCGTATCTGCTGCGTTTGGCTAACCAGGAGAGGCATTTCAATGGTGCCATCTCATATACTACAAATGTTATCAAGTTTACATTTTAAAAGATCTTATTATTTTAAGTTGCTCTCGTGAGTAAATTCATTACGAAAGTAAGTTTATTATATATTTAAAATAAATTACTTACATAACTTGCTAGAAAAAATGAAGCTTAAAAAAGCTAAATATCAAAACTCAGTCAGGGCCAAGGGCGCCGGCAGGGGGGTGCAAGGAGGTGCACTTGCACCCCTCTGGCTTTTTTTCTACACAATTAAGTAGATACAGAAAAAAAATTGTGTCATAAAATTTTTTTATTAAAAATATTTTTATTCAAAAACAAGTAATTAAATAATTATTGATACATAACAATTAAATTGTTTAATCAAACAAGAATAGTAATCGTCTTGTTTGCTGTCCAAATCTGTTTATAACTTTTTCAATGAATTCTGAGTTATCTTTGAATCCTTTCTTATGCACATTCAGCATGCACAAATTACTTAATTTCTCGTGAGACATTGTAGACCGATTCCATGTTTTGATGCGTCGCATTGTGCTAAAAGTGAGTTCAATAGTGCACGTAGTAGCTGGAGGAGTTAGGCCAATTTTGATAGCCTCCGCTACAGCTGGATAAAACGGTATCAACACAACAAATACAAATATTAAGCGCGCACAAACACGTTAGTATACGAAACTACTGTTTGTAGTTATTTGTGTTTCAAAGTCAGTAGCTATGCCAGCGCCATCAATAGTTTCTCGTGGCAAAATTTGCAAGTGCAAGAAATTCGCACTTTTTTTTAAATATCTTGTTAACAATGAAAAAATGTATGTTGAAAAAAATTAACAGATTGTAAAGTAAGATTATGTAAGTAATAACAAAACAGTAATAACAGAATATTTGTAAATTTTTTTTGGGGGGGGGAGGGTTAGTTTGTTAGTGGGTTGCACCCCCTTTTACATTATTCTGCCGGCGCCCTTGGTCAGGGCAATAAGAAAGGAATAAGAATAATGTGTAGTTCATCCTCCCAGTACATGAAATGAGGTGGCGCTGCGAGTGCATATACCTTGTAAGTAAGTCCAACTATAACTCCCACTCAACAGCTGTTGTTCTGACAGTTCCGATGAGATGGTAGTACATCTACTTTAACGGTCCTTTTCGTTCTGGACTTGTTAAAAGTTTGGATCATGTCATGTATTATGTACCGTTACCCCTTTGGCTGTGATCTCAAAATTTAAATTTAGTAACGGTTACCCAGATTATTTAGTAGACAAATATCTAATGAATTACAGAAAACTTTTAACATTTAAAACTCATTTTTATTGCACCTCTAAATCTTCAAAAAACATAATTTCACACATTTCCAAATGCTAACATGGGAATAAACATTTATACATTAATTAAAACAAAAATGCAACCTTATAACTCTCAAGCATAACCTTCATTTACTACAGTTCAAAAAAGACATTTATAAAATAAAAACTGCATATAACATTACTAAAAACACTGACTTGGTTTATGATATCTATAAATCACACTTAAATACTGATTGTTCTCCTACACAAAAAAAACACAACATAACAGTTCAGAATTTAAGGTAAATGATTCCTCTAAAATGTTAACGAAATAAAATTTCAAGTTTTACAAGTACCCTAAGGAATTTACTGCTTTCACTCTGGAACCGCCCACCGGAATGGTAGATGAATTCATGGACAAACTCCTCGGCTAGGATCTCGAAATTTCTCCAGCTATTCTAATTTCAAGCGACTTAGGCATGTAGAAGGGGAACACCGGACGTCCAGCATAGATTCCTTCGGACTTAGCCCATCGTCTCGAGGATATCGGCTTTCGGCTAATCCCGGTAGTCCTTCCCGCTAGAGACTTCAGTTTAGTTTTCCCTAAGGTTACCATCCACCATCTCCGAGGTACTGTCACGAACCACTCCTTTAGCGGACAAACTCCGTATCCCCAGGATACTGCTCTGGTTACCTGCTTACTGCTGATTACTACTGCTACTGCGCTTAGCCACATTCATCGCTTCTCTTTTATCCTCCCTTCAACAAGGCGAAAGAATCTAGACTGACCTGTTTACCACGTCCAGAGTCATCCTGCATCCGGCGGACGTCAGAACCAAAAAAAAGATCCCTGAGAAAAACCGTCATAAATCCACCAATACCCTATACAAGTTATAATACCATCCTCAATAAATATTAATAAATTTAGTTACATAGATTTCACCCCATAAATCCCTTTTTAAAAGACTAATTCAAAATTTCTGAAGAAAATATTATTATGATTGAATTTAAACTTTACCATAGTGGTGCCATCTACAGACAAATAATCTATCTTTAAAAGTATTAAAAAAAAACTATAATAAATTTCTATTTATTACAATTAACGATATATAGATATTAACGAACACGCATTATCTACCTTCACCTAAAATGCATTAATCGAAAATATTTAGGCCCTATTTTTTGTCTATTGTTTAACTTCCTAAAATTCTAGCATATAAAGTTATGTCAATAATACTCTATTTTCTTGTGTAATGCTGGGGGAGGGTTAGCTTCCTTTTTTGTGGTAGAAAATATTTTAGACTGCCTGTTCATTATAGATTATTTAAGTCTGTCTATTTTTTTTCAAATATATTCAAAGTAATTTTCAGTCAAATTGATATATATATATTTCAAATTTATTAAAAAATATCTAAATAAAAGAACTCGAGTGATATTAAGTTAGAATAGCAATCTTTTCTCATGAGTCCTGGTGGTTTAAATGGGTTTTCTTTTTTCCTTAAATAATGAAAATTTAAGGCGATTTTTCTACAATAGATAAAAACTGTCTTGTATTATTTTATTGTGAGAAGAAAAGTGATTTATTTTACAAAAAATAAATAAAATTATGATACCAGTATATTTGGAAGTAAAACAACAAAATTTGTACTTGGTAGATTTTTATTTCGCTCTTTGGTTTTGTGAAATATTTAAATATAAAACTTACAGAGATTATGGACGCATTTTAAAAGAAACATTAAATTTTTAATTTGGAAAAATTTACAAAAAGAGACAGAAATTAGTATATAGGATAGAAGTTTTACTTTTAATCAACTGAATTTAAAAACTAAATAAGAAAAACTGAAACTAATCATACAGCAGGCACAAAATTTTCTGCTTTATTTTAAGAAACGGCTTTAAAAGTCTAGAAATATATATTCTTTAGCATGTAATTCAAAAATAGAATGATAAAAAATAAGTATAATATCCAAAAAATACATTTGTAATCACTAATACTTTCTTTGCAAAGATTCTGAAAAAGGAGAGCGTATACTTCTGGTTGCTAATGGCAACCAGAACTCGACATAACCGCACCGTTCCTTAAATTGCAGTGCGAACTAAGAGTAACTGAGGTCACGTGACTAGTTCACTTTAGTGTCACCAGAGAAAAGGATCTCACACTTTTATACTACTCTGTATTTTGATTTCATATTCGATGTGGTAGATAGATGTGGACATTTGCTAATTACATGTGGATGGAAAACTCCACACAGATGGCGTTAAGGGTTAAATTCCGAGTTACTATTTTTACGCCTAAAGCACCATTCTTGCTAAATAAGTGGTGCTAACGAGAGCATTCTTGCTAACGAGAATCCGCTCACTCTAGCTTACGATGCTATGTGGAGCACGATAAGCTAGAATTGCCACGAGTGATTAATCCTCACTTCGGCTGGATCACGCTATTGGTCGAAGATGACATCACTGTTTGGGGGAAGGGACATGCTGTTTATTGCATAGTAAATTGGCGACAGATTTTAAATCTAGTTTTCAAACGCGCTCTGTTTATACGTGGTATTTATTATGTTTCATGTTTTTTATCTATTAATGTTTTCTTGTTTTTATTTATTAATGTTTCTCGTTATTATTAATTATGAATCTGGTGATCCTCTCTTGTCAGGGCTAATCTTTGCAGTTATAATTGAAAAATTATTATTAAAATAGAAGAAAGAAAATTAAAAGTATTTTTTTTTCTGTTTTAGTTGTTTTTTTAGGAGATCAACTGCAACTGGTCTATATAATTTTAATTGCCAAATCCTTTTCAGATGTTAAAAATATTTCCACAATTTATTTATCCCTCAGTGTAGATAATGAATTTTGTTTTATTTATTTTTGTAGGTGTTATCTGCTTTAGGAACAAAAACTCTCAGACCTAGTTCTGCTGCACAGTGTGTAGCTTATATTGCTGTTGCTGAGTTACCTCGTGGGGAATGGCCAAATCTCATTTTATTACTTACCCAGCATATAAATAACATAAACTCTACTGAAATGACCAAAGAGGCCACACTAGAAGCATTAGAATACATCTGTCAGGATATAGTAAGCTTACCTATTGTATTATTTATGTATGTGTTATAAAGGTATAAAAATGTTTGTAGACTAACCAACCAAAAAGTCATTTTTGCTTGATTTCTCATAATTTGTTCGATTTTCATTACAGTTCTTTTTGACCAGGCTTAAAAACCCAAATTTGGGTTTTTAAGCCTGGTCAACTATAGACTTTATAGACTTCAGACCTAATAGACTTTAGCAAAAACTTAAGTTTTTGCTAAAGTCTATTAAAAGTTATCTAAATTCGTACGATAATTTAAGCCTATCAAAAGTTATATTTTTTGGCTTAAGTGAAAAATCAATTTTCTCAAATAAAGTTAAATTATTTAATAGTGGGGGTTTCAAAAAATCCATTACAGTTTATGGCGTAAAAAATTGTTTTCTATTAATTAAAATACTAAGTTTTTAATGATTTAGCATAGTGTTAAACTATTTGCAAATATGGTTACTTATTTTAAATATTTGATTGGGATTCTAAAAACTAAATTACTATTTTGAGTAGAGTGAAAATATTGTTTTTAAAAATTGAGTCTTCCATAAAATATATTAAGTTTGTAATGGTTTGGCAATAGATTGAAACTATTGGTGAAAAAAAAAAAAAAAACTTGTGTCTTCTATTTTTTTCATACCACAGTTCCTTGAATCTCCGGTCCTCTACTATTTTTATATTTTAAAACAAAGTTCAATTTTTAACATAAATTAAGGCATGCATATCTTCTGCTGTGAATCTCAAGATTGTTGATTCACAGACTTCCGCAAATCAAGATTTTATCACAGTTCTGCAAATCTGAAATTTAATTTTTGCTATTACAGCAAAATCTAGTTAACTATTCCAACCTTACCAGCACCATATTTTTTTCTAAGTTCTCATGCACATGCAATAACAATTTCTTTTTTTTACGCGGATTCGTTCGAGAAAAGCAAAACTTCAGATTTTATAATAACTTTGATGAATTGATAAAATACTATTAAATTGAACTGATTTATTAACAAAAAAATGGTGTTTTCTCTTTTTTTTAAAATTTGAATTTTAATGAGCAGCAATTTTATTTAATTCTGATCTGTAACAGAAGAATTTTTTAATCAATATGATATATTTATCCCCCTTTTTTAGTTTGCTCCAATTAAATCAAATTAATTTTTAATATATATTATGTCATAGAAATCTTGAATCACGTATTTCAGTAATCATTTTTCAACCCACTTAATATCCTAAATATATATTTCAATCTTATTAGATAACAAAAAAATTTCCTTTTTCTTTAAATTTTGAATATATTTTTTTGTGCATTAAAATGATATCTTTTATGTTAAAGAGAAGAAGAAAAAATAGTATTAAATTAAATTAAGAAAAAAAATTTCAGATAATTTCTTCCAGTAATCACTTGTCTATAAGTTGCTTTGTTACGTGTACCTAATTTCATATTTGTTAAGTTTCAGTTTACTAGCTCTTTTGACAATGACTATTATACTGTCTATAATTGTAGATTGTCTTTTATCTATGTTCCTGACTCTATATTTATGAGCTAAATTACAGTTTAGTTTTTTTTAATTATAAAAAATCTTCGATTATCATCAGAATTGTATTTATTTATGTACTAGAATATAAAATCCNAAGTTTAAGTTTACTAGCTCTTTTGACAATGACTATTATACTGTCGCCAAGATACTGTCTATAATTGTAGATTGTCTTTTATCTATGTTCCTGACTCTATATTTATGAGCTAAATTACAGTTTAGTTTTTTTTAATTATAAAAAATCTTCGATTATCATCAGAATTGTATTTATTTATGTACTAGAATATAAAATCCAGAAAAAGTAGTTAAAAAAAATTATTTTTGCTCATTCATATGCAAGAAATTATAAATTGATTTTGTAAATTTAAGTAATTTACAAAATCTATAAATTTTATAATGATGAATAACTGTTTCTTTAACATTTAAATTACAGCAAATAATTGCAAATTAGAAGAATTATTGTTCAAGCTGCGTTTAAAAGATTTTACCCTTTACTCAGAAAAACACTGGTGTTTAATGCTGTAATTCATAACTATAATTTATTGAAATGCTAAGTACAGTAGAGAACCGATTATGCAGAACGATCGGGACCATCTCGATTCCTGATAACTGATTTTTCTGGTTCGCTACAAAACGGCTTTTTTTAATTGTTTATTAAACCTAACTTAAAAAATATTCTTTAGAAATACTTTTAAAAAGAAGAAAAAACGATAAAGTCACGTATAATACGTAAGTTTAATAAGATAAAAAGGGAAAAAATAATGAAATTATCAATATATGGAGAAATATATATTTTCTTCCCTTTTTTTTTCTTCTAGAAACAGGGGGAAAATTTATGGAATTTCGTTCCGGGTTTCTGGTTTCCAGATTTGAGGTTCTGTACTGTATAATATATTTCACTTATTTTAACTTAAACAAATACAACATAATGAAAGAAGTAAGAAAAATATATTCAATAAAAATTCTGTATCAAATGTATCTTGATATTTTATTATAGGAACCAAATGTTCTTAATTCACAATCAAATGACATCCTGACTGCAATTGTTCATGGGATTAGAAAAGATGAACCTAGTGATCATGTTGAGCTTGCTGCAACCACTGCACTTCTAAATTCAGCGAACTTTGAGAAGGAATCTGAGAGGCATGAATGCATGCAGGCAGTGTGTGAAGCTACTCAATCTGCTGATGCAAAAGTGGGTTGAAAAACCTGTTTTGATAATTAATGTAGTTAGTGTTTTTGATTGCTGCTTTTTTTTAAATATGCAGGAAAAAGTTTTATTTTAAAGGCAAAAGGGTAAAATAAGTTTGAATTTTTTTTGAATAAGTTGAAATAATTTAACCATAATAATAACTTTACTAAAAGTAGCAAAGCAATCATATTAATTACTAATTTTTATTAATAAATTAACATATATATATCGAGTTAATGAGCTAATTAGCTTAGTAATTTATTTAAAATGCATGCATATATTAATAAAATAATAAATGCCTGTTTTTAAATGTCTGTAGTTATGATTTAATGATAGTGGAAGTAACTGCAAACTTTCAAAGACAAGTGCAACAAGGGGGTGTGATAGCTATTTTTCCTTTCCCATATAAATCTATGTATTGACAGCAATGGCAAACTAAATAAAAAGAATTGAAATAAACAAAAGTTTAAGAAATCCATTGTAGAGTTTGGGGAAAAAAATAAAGAGTTGAGGAAAGAAAGGGCAAAAAAGGTATGTAGTCTATTATATCAGGGCACTAATTTACTTCAGGGGGAACAGGGTGAATTCTTTTGACTAAAAAGGCAGCAGGGTACTGCACCTTGTTTACCCTGCTTAGAAAAGAATACAATAAAAACAATATTTGACTGAATGTCAAAAGATTTTGCAGTTCTGAAAGCTGCATCTTGTTTACATCCATATTTGTTAAAAAAAAAAAAAAAAAAAAAAAAAAAAAACACAGTGCAGTGTTGTGCGAACAAGGAATGGATAATTTGCTCATATTGCTTTTTAGTAAAGGAAAAATTTCACTATCATGTTCTGAGCAAGCTAAAATTCCGTTTCAAAAATTTTTAGAAAAAGTAAAGTGCGAATGCAGGAAAACAATTCATTTCATGATGATGTTCATTTGGATGATTTTTATTTTGATACAAGGAATCTTCCGATTTGTGGGAAGTTGTCCAGATCATTTCTGTATTATCCCATGGCAATGATGCTGTAGAAAGTAGTTTTAGTGTTAATAGGGACATGCTTGTTGAAAATCTCAAGGAAGATTCCTTAGTTGATCTCAGAACTGTGAATGATGCCTTTAAAATTTATGGAGGAGTTTTAAAGGTCTGTATGTCAAAATTTTTTTTCTAGTTTGTAAAATTGGCTCGTGCGAGTTATCATGAAAGAATTGTTAATTTTGCTTCATAATTGTTAAATTTTTTAGATTGTTAAGATTGTTAAATTTTTATTTTGATAACAAAATTGTAGCTCTTTATTGTATTTCACCAGATTATTTTGAATTTTTTAGTACTTTGGAAGTAAGTTAAAAATATTTTCATTCTCTCTTAACTTATGTTGTGTATTTTCAGGCTTAGCCAAATTCTAGGTATAATTTATAAAAAAAAAATTTCAGTATCTAAATATAAACGCCAATCTGTTACCATGTTTTATTTCAAACATTGTTGAATTGTTACTGAAATTGATTTAATATATATATATATATATATCTTGGCCACAGCTGAAAAAAATATTAAAGATTTGCAAAATAATAAAGACGTGTCGATTATAGAAAGAGGACAAATCCTTTTATCTGAGGCTAAGTCGAGTATAGCAGAATATTTAACAGCATTGGAAGATACCAAAAAGAAACTTAATTTGTTAATGCAGGGACCTTGAAAAAAATTTAAAAAAAAGATGTTATTAATGAACAAAATAAAAAATTTTTGTTATTAAACTCTTGTTTTAATTTTTTTTATTAAATATGCTCCAAATCTTTGTTTTGCTGCTCCAAAACCATGCTTTGCCACTTGCACTTCTGAATTAGGGTAAAATGTATTTCCACACGCGATTGCCAGCTATGAATTTTTTTCCAAAAAGGTAACCGCCATCTTTGAACAAGTTTTCAGGGCCCAAACGATAGACTGACTCTCTCTACCCTAATATCTCACTTCTAATTCAATTGTAGGTTTTCCTTTACTGTTTTTCCATTTTTTTCACTCTTTCCGTTCTTGTGGTTTTTCTAATTTTGGCAATGTTTTTTTCAACTTTGTTTTGGTAACTATTTTTGATAGCTTGAGACATGTCGACTGTTATTTATCTTTTGTATATTTTGAATGTAATATCTAACTGCTCCAGTTTCTTGGTCCCGCAGTGAACTGATCGTTAAGACTCGGTTCCCAGCAGATCACCGATGTCAAGCATCACTGGCTACGGTCAGTGTGCGGGTGGGTGACCCACTTGGATCAGTCTGCGTAGGGACCGAGGGTGTGCGGTATTGGTCCTCGTTAAACTGTGCTACCGTAAAGTGCTCGACTTCGCGTGCAGGTCGTTGGGCTACCGAAGCGGGGGTGCCATCCCCTCCGCAGAGGATCAAAATTGCGATGGCATGTCTTCGGATCATCCTCAGGGATGTTTCCCAGACCATCGCCAACAGCGCATTGTGCAGCCCTAGTGCGACGTAAATGAACTACTACGCTCCAGTTTCTTGGGATAATATATTACCGCTTCAATTTCTTGGGATAATATCTAAACGCTTCAGTTTCTTGGGATAATATCTAACTGTTTCAGTTTCTTGGAATAATACCTTTCAGTTTCTGTATTTAATATTGATAAGTTTCTTAAATGATATGTCTTATATCTTAAATGATATGTCTATATGTCTTATATCTATCAGGAAAAGATATTGGGCTTACCTTTTTGTGCATTATAGTTTTGCTTATTTATTCTCTTGTTTAAAGACATTCACCAAAAATATTTGCTTATCACCCCTTTTAATATTTTACTCTATTGCATTTTAATTACCAAGCAAAATTAATTATTAATAATAAAAAATTATTAATTTGCTTCAATGTAATAAATTAACGTTTTATCCCCACTGTATATCACTTTAAAATTTTAATTATATTTTATTTTTCTTACAGATCTTATATAATGTGGAAATGCAAAAGTTACTGAAATACCTTAGAACTGTAAAAAGAGACGTTTACTACCAGCAAGTTCTCTTGGATTTGTATAATCAAATGGAATTCTTTCAGAGCAGCAACGCTTACGCCTCTAGAGGCTTTCCTAATTTAGAACACCTGATTAACCTAAAAGGCATCCATGATATTATACATACTAGTAAAATAGAAGAATGGAAAAAATTATTAAACTACATTAAATCAAAAAATTTTTCTGACTTTGTTAAACCCTTAAAGGAACTAATCGACGAATATGATGAAATTAGTGAATTTCCTTCATCTGAAGCCAAAGTTGAATGTATACTAGATAAAAAATTTTTAATAGGGCAAAATTGCAGGAACTACACATTGGAAGAAAAAAGGGAAATTGCTGCCTTAATTGTTCCCTGCCTTCAGCCAATAAAAGTATACATCGAATCAATTTCTAGCTTTCCAAGAACAAGACTTGACTGCTATATTCGCAAAGAAGATCTGCTTTACAATTTTTGGCAGAGGAATACTCTGAGTTTCCTCTAAATGAAAAAATTTCAGAGAACGATTTCAGATATGCAATAAACAGGGTTTGAAAAATCCCACCCCATCTAGGTTTTACATCAAAAACCTGAGAATTATTGAGTTTTTGGAGAAAAACCAAGTTTTTTCAAAAATATTTTAAATTTTTATTTCTGAGTACCAAATAATGCATGATTTGCTTCTAACAAGAAAGTTAAATATTTCGTAACTATTTATAACTTGTTTTGCTGTAATGTAAATTTTTTTTTAAAGTTTTAGATTGTTACGCTTTTGTTTTTGTTTCCTAAGGATAAGCAGATTGTTACATAAAAATTCAATTAGAAGATTCCAAACTTTCTTTTATTAATGTCTATTAGAATAAAATTCAAACTTAGATTTTAATAATCATTTTTCTCAGTTAACATTGCAACCTAATATACTGTTTCTTTTTTTTCCATTTCTTAAAAGTTTCTATTCTACTTTTGGATGCTTTAAAATTAGTAAATGTTTTTCGTCAGATTGTTTAGTAATATTAAAGTTGATTCCTAATATCAGTTTTGGCTGGAAATAATTGTAAAACTCATTTTAAAAGTAAATATAACACATTTGCTGTTGAGGAAAAATTTCAAAATGGTTGAGTTACATATCATTTTCAATGTTTTCTTAAAATTTTTCAATAGATTTTTTCAAAACTATTAATTTACGATAAAAATAAAATATCAAATAATAATAATAGTAAAGAATAATATTAAGAATTATACAGGATGATAAAGAAATATAAGTAAATGTCCATAAATTATGAAAAAATAAATAATTTATTAATATTTGTTAATTAAGGAACCTTACCAATTTTCCGGACATAGGAATGCGTTGTTGCCTTTGAAAAATCATTTTCGACCCTTTTATTTATATGTTTCACCGAGAACTAATAAAAAACAAATTGGTTTAAAAATTATAAATCTTAAACATAATTGTATTTTCATTCTGTAAAAATTTTATAAAAATATGTATTGCAATGAATTTAAAAAAAATATATAGTAGTATTAAGTTAAGCCTAATGAAAAAAAGTGGAATGATTAAATGTGCTTAGATATTAGTATGACCCGTTTTTACTTGAAATAGGATTTAATTTAGCATGACATAGTTAAAAAAAACTACTCTCATGCATAATTCTAATTCAACTTCGTATGTATTAATTTTTTTTAAATGTATACCCTTATAGGTGATACATTTTGTTAATGGAGAAAAAGATTTTTTTGGGGTAAATTAATATTTACCAAGATTGGCCCACAGCTGAACATGTAATCCACGTCTAGTAGAGAAATATAAAAACTTGTAATAATTTTTCCAAAATTTGCTTGTTTACTCTTTTTTTAATGTATGAAAAAAAATTGCGAATTTTAATTTCTGCACCTAATTTTGCAATTCAATTTCAATAAAATGATTAAAAAGGGAATACAGATAAGTTTCATAGACGTCGTTAATCCTTAACAATCTTGAAATGTTTTTTTTTTTTTAAAAAAACCCGACCCGGGTTTACAAAAATTGTCTGGTTCCTACTTTGCTGAGCACTGAAAGAATTATTAAAACACTTTTTTCTGTACTTACATTATAATAAAATTGTTTTTTCTTTATTGATTTTTTTAAAGGAAGTTAAATAATTAGTACTGTCTCTGGTGATATATATTTATTCGCTTCATATTTTTGTCTACATCTTTGTGTTTCCTATTTTTGTGTACTGCAATATATTTTGCATGTTTTTGTAATAAATAAATATTTAAAATGTAATTAAAGGGATTATAATTTTAAAACATAAATAAGACTAAACAAGCTGGATAATCTGTTCAAAAATGTTACAAAAACTAGAGCATTTCATCTCTTACGTGATTTAGTTTCCGGTTCCATTGGGAAAAATTCAGACCTAATAATTTCGATCAACTAGATCCTTATCCTGAATTTTGATCAACTTAAACCTAGATACTTTGATCAACTTGTACCTTAAATTTACAAACTTGTTTCTTCGCATTCTTGCTTAATTTTTGGTTGTTATAAAAATCAGGTAGGTATTTTGGCCTAAGAAATTACCTTGCAATAGTCCGACTAGTTAATTTCGAATTTTTAATTGTTATATAGTATTCATTGTAGTTTTATTGTATACGTTGACTAAAACCAGGTTTACATAAAATTTATTATCAAATGTAAATCTAACCTTTTAAAAAAAGTAAATGTAACTTATTAAACTAATTTATAAAATGTGCTATTTAAAAAGTAAATGAAACTCTTTAAGAGCTGAATAAAACTTTTCATCATTTATTAATTTAGAAAATTTGGTAACTAAATATCTTTATTATAAAATGTTGCATAAAAGTTTAATTTTCAGTGTTTTAAAAGAAAAACACTTATAACTTTAAGCCTTTAACTTTGCATGGTAATTAAAATGTAATAGAGTAAAATATTGAAAGGGTTGATAAGTAAATATTTTTGGTGAATGCCTTTAAATAAGAGGAAAATAAAAAAGCAAAACTATAATGCACAAAAAGGTAAGTCCAGTATCTTTTCCTGATATATATAGATATACGACATATCATTTAAGAAACTTACCAATATTAAATACTGAAACTGTTTGGTATTATCCCAAGAAACTGAAGCAGTTAGATATTATCCCAAGAAACTGGAGCAGTTAGATATTATCTCAAGAAATTGAAGCGGTAAGATATTATCCCAAGAAACTGGAGCAGTTAGAAATCTCAAGAAATTGAAGCGGTAAGATATCCCAAGAAATTGAAGCAGTTAGATATTATCCCAAGAAACTGTAGCAGTTAGATATTATCTCAAGAAATTGAAGCGGTAAGATATCCCAATAAACTGGAGCAGTTAGATATCTCTAGAAATTGAAGCGGTAAGATATTATCCCAAGAAACTGAGGCAGTTAGATATCCCAAGAAACTGGAGCAGTTAGATATTATCTCAAGAAATCGAAGCGGGACGATATTATCCCAAAAAACTGGAGCAGTTAGATATCAAAAGATAAATAACAGTCGACATGTCTCAAGCTATCAAAAATAGTTACCAAAATAAAGTTGAAAAAAACTTTTCCAAAATTAGAAAAACCGCAGTAAAATAAAACCTACATTGGCCTTAGAGGAGATATTAGAGAAGACAAAGCCAGTCTATTGTTTGGGCTCTGAAAACTTGTTCAAATAAGATTACCTTTTTGGCAAAAAATTCCTAGCTGGCGGTCGCATCGTACACGAATAATGTTAAGAGTACCTAAAGATTTTTCTCTCTTTTTATTTTATTTTAAATGCTTTCCCAATTTTATTTGTGATTGCAAAAGATAAGTTTTTAAATAAAAATACGTTATAATATATGCGCCACATTTAATTATTTGCTTTAAATTGCTTAATCATAAAAAGCTAATAACATATTAGTTAAGCATGATTTTACCAAACAATGAAATAAAAATAATGATTTTTATTAAATCGAAGGTACATTTGAAAGTATGTAGAATATAAAGAAACAATTGCAAATGATTATACGTATTAATTATTTTTGTCAAAACGTCATGAGATGTAAAAATCTTTGTCTATCAAATGAATCCACAGTAATATGCTTAGAGCAGTGATTCTCAACCTTTCCTTTTTTTTAGGGCGGCAGACTTTTAACGNATGCTTTCCCAATTTTATTTGTGATTGCAAAAGATAAGTTTTTAAATAAAAATACGTTATAATATATGCGCCACATTTAATTATTTGCTTTAAATTGCTTAATCATAAAAAGCTAATAACATATTAGTTAAGCATGATTTTACCAAACAATGAAATAAAAATAATGATTTTTTTTAAATCGAAGGTACATTTGAAAGTATGTAGAATATAAAGAAACAATTGCAAATGATTATATGTATTAATTTTGTCAAAACGTCATAAGATATAAAAATCTTTGTCTATCAAATGAATCCACAGTAATATGCTTAGAGCAATGATTCTCAACCTTTCCTTTTTTTTAGGGCGGCACACTTTTAAAAATTTCAAAATTTGACGGCACACAATTAAAAAAATTAGTTTAAAAGTTATTTACTTACCTATAATACACTGAGTAAAATAGTTTGTGATAATTTATAATATATACTGCAAAAGCACGTTTATTAAGGGATTAATTATTTCTTTCGATTAATCTTTTATTAGTTAGTCACAGTTATTTATTTTTTGCTAGTTATTAATTGTTAGCTTGTTTTCTATAGCTATTAACTGTCATTTTTTTGTGATTTCTTGTTAACTAGTATTTTTGCTGATTATTTATTGTTAGCTTATTTTTTTGTTAGTTATCCTTTGTTAATTTGTTTTTATAAGTTAATTGCATAGCTTACTTTAATGACTAGCTTTTATTTCCGCTTGAAAGTTAATATTTAGCTTGCTCTCCTTTGTTAATTAATAATTTAATCATTAAATTTATTTCAACATTTTTTAAAATTGTCAAAGACAATTTAAACACTTCATTCTTATTTTAAGATTGTCAGAGACAAGGCAATCGCCGACAAAGATGTTCAAGCTGTTAAAGCATGGAAAAATTATAATGTAAAAAATAATAAAATAAAGCATTATATATAAATCGTAATAAAAGAATAAAATCGTAATATTATAAAGCGTAATAAAAAAAGCATATATTTTTATTGTATCGTTTCTAATATTTGGCGGCACAGTGGTTGAGAATCACTGGCTTACAGCATAACACACTATTATTGGATGCTGTGTATTCTTCTCTGTAGACATTTACATCCCATCTCATCTTTAGGAAATCTACGTATAAACAGTTAGTCATTAATACTGGGTGGTTTTAAAATTATTATTGGACAAATAAAATAATAAAGTATCATGCTGAAAAATACGAAAATTTTTTTTAAAAATTAAATCAAAGTTGAAACCATTAGCTGAAATGATTTTAAAAAATTTCATAATACACTACACATTCTGTATCCTGATTTTTAGAATGCAGAATATGTGTGAATAAAAAATGTGCAATTTTATGCTTGAGTTAAATAATTATGTACTAAAAAACAAAGTAATTTAAAAGAAATGTAGTGAAAGAAAATTGTCACTACATTTTTTTTCCGGATCACAATCCCCCAATTCATAAATATTTCTAAAATTAACTTTAGAACAATGTTTATACCCAGCTCACTGAACGAACTTGATCTTAGAACGAATCTTGCAGAAAATAATTTATTTTTGAAAGTAATTAGTTTAAATCATTTGTTTACTAGTATTCCTATTTGCATGATAAAACCGTAATAAACTGCCATTTATTTATTCAAATTTCTTCTGATTACGTAGGTCTGAACTGGCTCAAGCACGTTTCTCTGAAATAAATGCAAGTATACTCCTGGCATGTCTACGTTGTTTACGCTGATACACTCTGCTTTGCTTTATAATACGTAACACAAAGCACACCCTATCTCTATTTTATAAAAAAAAATTAAGCTTGCGTACGAAATTGCAATGATCTCAGAGAAAAATTACTAAGTTTAAAATTTACTCCTACAGGAAAGGAAACAAAACCTGTGAAAATAAAACAATATTAAGTCAAAACTTTTTGGAGTGTTTCTAGAGGCCTGGTTTCTTAGCATAAGCGCCTTATCTGGGCGTCAGCGGGACGTTGACGTGCCGCTGACGCCAACAAAATACTGGTTTGTTAGCTCAGCGTAAGCAGTCTGTCCAACGCTGACATTATCTCGCACTGCGCATGAGCTAATAACGTAAACAAATATTTATTTTGAATTTGTATTGATTTTGTTATTGTCGACCAGTGCTTTAGAGAACAAATAATGACTTTGTCCAAGAAAAAACACATTATAGCTGAGCTAAATGAAGAGGAAGAAGAAGCTATGTTTAATATTAAACTCAAAATCTTGGCTGATTTCAATGCTCTGTTGGATGCTTCTGACGTTAA